CTCCCCCTCTCCCATGTCCCCCCGGAACTGTCAGTCCCGTTGTTTTCTCCTCCAGATTGTTCATCCAGCCTGTCCTATCCAGACAGGCCTGCGAGGCTGTAACTCTTTAAGGGAGTAGAAAACACTCTCTCCTGAAGAGAGCCTGGTAGTTTCAAATGACTGACTTTGGGGCTGGTAGCCCAATTCCTAACCACTATGCCACCAGGGATCCCCTAGAATCCCAAGGGACCTGAATTATCTTCTAATTGAACTTTGCAGGAGAGGTAACTGAGGCTGGACAAGGCTTTGCTTAAGCTACCCACGGGCTGACTGGACACCCACCCTATCCTCCACTGACACCCACCCCAGAAACGCCACCAACCTTATTTCCCAGTTTGTGCTCCAAAGGACTTTGGCTTTTCAAGACTAAATAAATAAATTCCTTTTGAAAAGACAACTATCTACTCCCCACAGAGGCTTTAAAGAAATGTGTGCATTTGCTCTCATTAGTGAAGTCATACCCCTGGCCTGGGGTCCTAGCAGACTTGGGGGCTGGGGTGGGGCAGTTTAACACTTCACAGATTAGAAAATGCCGTCAAAGATGGTTCCTGGCCGGCACTGCGGCTCTGCCCTTCTGGAAGTGAAGTCTCTCTCCCTGCCTGATTCCGGCATCTAGCAGCCAGTGGAACAAGACTGAGCACTAGGAACAGGAGCTCCCACACACACAGAGACCCTGTTGACCCAAAGTCAATTCTCGGTCATCGTGTCGATGCTAACTCATAGCGACCCTCTAGGACACGGTAGAACTGCCTCCTGCGAGTTTCCGACTCTTTAAGAGAGGAGAGAGCGGTTTTGAACTGTGGATCTTGTGGACTGCAGCCCAACAAGGAGCCGCTATGCCACCAGGGCTCCTGGCCCAGAGTCAAGCCATTGCAGATGGACCATCACACTCTGGGGGACTGGGAAACAACAAGCAATAGCGCCAAGGAGGCTAAGCCAGGGCTCCTGAGGGGGCGGGGTCCTTCAGTGAGCTGTGAGTAGGACCTGGAGGACAGGGGTGGCCAGCCTGACAGGCCTGGCGGTCTGGTGGGGTTGACAGGGCCCAGGTAGGCCAAGCCACGACTTGTTTCCTGGGAGTACAGTGAACCCTTGCCACTTTGCTTCGACTTCCGCGGCTTCACTCTATCGTGGTTTTTGCGTAACAGCACCCACTGCCTACACCCGCTCCTTCAGAGGAAAAAGACGGCGACCCACCTGTAGAGTACATCCCTTAAGTCATTTCATAGGCTATTGATTACAGTATTTGTAAGAACTATGTATAATAATACTGTATGTGAAATATGTAATACTGTAAACTAGATGCCATAAATAATATAATAAATGATCATTGTAATGTCCAAAATGTTTTACTGTATTTTCCCTTTTTCCTTTAATAAATTGGGTAATACAAGTGTAATGGTGACTAAAGGGTGTTTTTTTATGTCCTCTATGCTCTAACTACGAAAATATTTGATTTACAAATAAGGAATCCTACTTCGCGGAATTTCATTTATCACGGTAGGGTCTAGAACCGATTAACCGCGATAAACGAGGGTTCACTGTATTCACAAGAACAAGGTTGGACCCAGTCCTAGGATACCTTTGTTGCCAAGAGGTTTGAAAGGCAAGGACTGAGGTGCAGAAACCCAACAGAACCACCTTGAGTCTGGTCTTGGAAGACCATCAGGGCACAGGGCAGAGGCGGCAGCACTCCAAGGCCGAATGTCACCAGAGGCCTCTGTGGAGTCCTACCTATGCTAAAGAGGGCAGGCAGGACAAGAGGGAGGCCAGAGCTAAGGTCCGGGGTTGTGCTGAGAAAAATATTCCCCAGCTAGAAACTTCTCCAGCATGGGGAGAAACCTCTACTGGGTCATTTTAGACTTGACAATGCCCTGGAACTTGGAAAACATGGATAAACGAGGAATCCCCAGGAGGCTGGTGACAAAGATGCTACTTTTATTCACTTTGCTGACTTTGGAGCAGAGGCCCCATTGAGCTGGAGTGCATGTGTCTGCACTCTCCACAAAATGACTCTGAAGCAGTAGCAGCTCTGTCTCTGGTGTTCCCTGGGGAGCTCTGGTGGTCCCAATGGGTCGCTTACACGTTGGGTCCCTAACTAAAAGGCCAGCAGTTGGAACCACTTATCCGCTCCCTGGGAAGAGGGGGAGGCTGTCTGCTCCCATCGATTCCCAGCCTTTGAACCCCGATGGGGCAGTGCTCCTCTGTCCTCTAGGGTCCCTGAGTTAGAATGGACTCTGGGGCCGGTTCTGGTGCTTGTTTGCAACCTGTGTCAGTCTTTCCTCGCTGAAGGTCTTCCTCTTTGCGGCTGCCTCTCTTCTTTACCAAGAAGGACACCTTTCTTCAGGAACTGGTCTCTCCTGACAACATGACCAAAGAGGTTTCGCCACCTTTGCCTCTAAGGAGCATTCTGGCTGTACTTCTTGCAAAACTGATTTGTTTGTTCTTTTCAATACTCTTGTTTGTCCATTTCAGTATTCTGTGCAACACCGTAGTTCAATGCATGCATTTTTATTGTGTTCCTTATTCAATGTCCAACTTTCACATGCATAGGAGGCAATGAAAAATACCATGGCTTGGTTCAAGTGCACCTTGGCCCTCAAAATAGCATCTTTGCTTTTCAACATTTTAGAGAGATCTTCTGCAGCGCATTGACCCAATGCAATGCGTCCTTTGATCTCTTGCCTGCTGCTTCCTTAAGCATCGATTGTGGATCTAAGACGGATGAAATCCTTGACAACTTCAATCTTTTCTCCATTGAACATGATGGCATTTAAATAGTAAGGTTATTCTTCCAGAATCCCCAATGTTATTTGCTTGCGACAGGATCACAGAAATGAGAATTGTCTTTGCCAAAGAACTATTTAATAGTAAAAGTATAGCCATTGTGATATCTGACAGAGGAAAGCTTTCTAGCATCTAGTCCTCCTCCTAATAGTCCATGAGAAATACAAACCGTGGAGGTGTTTTCTCTCCCCCATGATGCATTTCAAGAAACTGCTAAGCACTTAGGGATCCCAGAGAGGAAATGTTCTCCCTCTCCCACCCACAGAAGGCAGCATAGGTCCGAGGCCCCGGCTCGGCCATCAGGCAGTGACTGGCAGCTGTTCATCTCAGAGCCACAGCTCGCTGACCCCGCACAGCCCACCGTGTGGCTCTTCAGATGTTCTTCCATGGACATCTTCGCCTCTCCTGGTCCTACCATTGTTCCACAGCCACCTGCCTCCAGATCCTCCCAGGGAGTTCTTTACATCTTACTTTTCAAACACTCGTTTATGTGAACCTGAGGACATGCTGTTTGCAAAAGAACATGGGTGTCCAGCCCCCCCACACTGACTGGAGAAAGGGCTGGCTGGCTCACTGTTCCCCACCCCATGCAGAGCCTGAAAGGGTCCCAGCCGCATTCCAGCCCTGTGCACCACAGCCAGCACCACGGTGAGCCCCTCTTCCCAGCCTGGGTGCAGCCACAAGTGAGGAGCAAGGGTGGGAAGGCTGAAAAATAACATCTCAACACCCAACGGTGCCACAGTGGGACCACGTGGCGGCTGTGGAGAGCCATGCTGGCGGTGAGGAAGTGCCCTGCCTTCCAGCCTCCGCTCTCCCTCCTCCCTGTCTGCATGTGCTCCTGCTCGCCCATGCCCACAGGCCTGCCGAGGCGACAGGCCAGCTCCCGGTCCTCGCCAGGGAGGCTCCAGCTGCCAAGTCAGGTGGGGGGTAGGAGGAGGGAAGAGGGGAGGAAAGAGTAGGGGGAAAAATCTTGGCTCCGGAGAGGCCTGACCCCAGAACTCCCACCTGGGTTCTTTCCCTTGGGCTCAAGAGATCAAGTCCCTCCCTTCACAAGGAGCCACTTGAACACGTGAGAGATGCTCCCCACCCTGCCTAAGGCCCTTAAGCTCCACACCGAACTGCCATACCAGAAGTGTGTCCCACATTGTCCTCCCCTCCTTCATCCTGACTTCTACATTTAGACTCCTCCAGTCTAGGGTCAGAGGGCATTTGTACCCACTGGGCAAGGGAGATGGGGAGGGGAGGAGCAACGAGTAAATGGGCCAGAGGGCTTAACGCAGCTAGAAACCTCACACCCACCACTAGGAAACAATCCCCTAAAGGAGGCCCCACCTACCCACACCCACGGACACCCAGATGGCTACACGTGCGCACTCGCATGCACAAACAGATGCACGCACTTCCCCAGGCATGCAGGGGGCCCAGGTAAGTAGCCAGGAATTGGCGTGAAGTCAAGGACGAATTTGGGGAAGAAGGCACAACCCGGAGAGAGGCCGAAGGCAAAGAGCTTCCTTGTACGTTTATTGGAGTCTTTGTTAAGCGAGAATACTGATCAGTGAGCCCCTTCCATAGCCCAGCCGCCCCCACAGAAGGGGGCACACAAGGGAGTCGGTTCCTTTTGTTTTTTTTGTTCCCCATTATAGACAACATTATTATTAAAAAAAATAAACTTTACATTAATACATTTTCGCTCATCTGTGGGGGGAGGGGGAGGGTAGTAGTTCGATAGTTGTGTTTCCTAAAAAAAGGAAGAACGGGTAGAGCACACAATATATGTATATGGATGTGTATATACATATATGCTGGGAAAAGAGCCTTGCTATGTACATCCAGTTGATGGATGTCCTGGAAATGAGGAAGGAGAACAGGAACGAGAGGAGGCAGGAGGAGAGGGAGAGAGCGCGCGCCAGAGACCAGCATCCAGGTGGTCTCCTCTGCCCCTTTCAGTGGCCCTTCTCCCTGAAGCAGACCTTCCAAATGGACCCATTCACAACCACAAAAGCCCGAAAAACCCCATCATGTCTCTTTGATGGCCAAATCCTTGCCACCAAGAAGGGGAGAGGCGCTCTTGAGCAGGTGCCCAAGTTTGGCTACCTCCCACCATGGGCCACCCACCCCCAGTGGGGCAGAGCTCCCAAGGTGAGCTGTGGTGGGGCTGCCTCCCCTACACGATGGTCAGGGGGAGCCCATGGCCACATCCCCCCACAGGCACCCACAGGGCTCCACAGAGAACCTGCACTGCCCGGTCGAGGGAGCGCCGAGAGGAGGGTGGACCCAACTCCCTCCTTGCAGCTAAGAGGAGGTACCAGAGAGTCCATCTGGAACCCCCAGGGGCCAGCCTCCTGGCCCTGCTGCCCACTCCCCTCTGCCCACCCTGGCAGCTCTGCAGAGTGGGCCAAGTGTGGGAAGCAGCCGCACTGTCCTGCCCCCAGCCTGAGTCCGGCACAGCCGTAGTCCATTAGGCTTCTGGGTCACACTGTGAGCTCTTGCTTCAGAAGGGTCCCGAGAGGAGTCACGGGGAGAAAGGAAGGGCCTGGCTGGACCTTCTCACCCTCCGAGGTGCTGGTTTCCCTTGCCTGGGGAGCTTAGGGGCCCCTGCTCTCAGGCTGCCCACCTGCTCATCTGTTTGGTTTAGAAAAACTTCTCCAGAGAAGAAACCTGGGAGGAGGCAAGTTCAAAGACAAGGTGAAGAAAAAAATCTTTTTTTTTTTTTTGCAAGGTGTATGTGTACATGTGTGTGTGTGAGTGTGTGTGTGTGTGTGTGTGTGTGTGTGAGAGAGAGAGAGAGAGAGAGAGAGAGAGAGAGAGAGTGCACATCTGTGTATGTTTCCATTTTGTCTGGCGGGTGTCTCTTATTTGTGAAGCTTCCAGAAATCTTCCAGCGCAGTTCCCAGGGCCTACAAGGCCAGCGTTAGCATCAGCAAGGAGAGCAAGGTCAAGGCAGCCGTCGGTCTGGCTCTGCTGAGGCCTGAGTTAGGTCTGATCACCTTGTTGCTCCCTGGGATGATGTTTGTCGTGAGCTGGAGCCGCAGGTGTGGGGGAGATGGAAACAGAAAACAACAAAACAAAACAAACTCAGCAGGGCCGGGACTAGAAAAAGAACAAGCCTCAGGGATCGCAGCCCTCGGACATCGGCCTTCTCTTTTGACCCAGAGGGATTCTCTTTCACCCTCCGCATGCAAAGCCAGGCTTCCAGGGTGGCTGCTCGGATGGTGGAAGCTGGAACTACAGGGTCCGCCCCACTCCCCACCTCCAGTCCTTCTGGCTCTAAGCCTCAAAGCTTTAGGAGGTGAGGCAGCAACCCTCAGGGAAATGGGTACTCATCTCAGCATTGGGGCCAACTGCTCCAAGGAAGGGAGAGAATGTGAGTCCCAGAGAATGAAGAGATGGATCAAGGTCTCTAGAAGGCGGCTCGCCCAATCTGCTTCATGGGCAGAGAGGAGAGAGGACGGGTTCCCCGGTTCCCAGCTTGTTCAAATCCCTCCTCTTCCACACAGCCTTCCTGAGACCTCTGGACCTCTCTCTCCTTCTTGTGTAGAATTGAACACGGCTTTATCTTCTCATCTCATTTAGCACCTATCCGTGCTCCTTCACTGGGGACCCTGAAAGATGAGCCTCTACTTCCAGGTCTACATTCTCTTAAACATCATAGGAACCAGCACATAGTAGATGCTTAGTGCATTTGTCTTGCAGAGTAAGGAAGTCACAGGCAGACCTTTGGTCAGAGAAGCCTCTCATCTCTCCCAGGGAAACATCCAAGGACCAGCTGCAGCCTCTCTACCCTGCGAGCCCTCCCAGCAGGCTGAGTCCCGCCCAGACCGTGGCAGGCCAGAAGCTCAGCTAGATAGGACCAGACCTGCAATGAGACCTGGGAATTTACCCGGGAAATAACGTGCTCAGACCTGGGCTTCTGCACCCCTCCCTCTGCTCCACCACTCTGCCCCTCACTCACCTCTGTGAAGCACATGCTTAACTCTTTGGAGTTATTGGCCTTCGAGCCCTGCTCCTGTGGGAGAGAAGGCACTCGTTAGGACAGGTGTCTGGGGCAAAGTCATGCCCATTGACTTGGATGAGAGCAAAACATTCTGTAGCCCTGACATCTACTGCTAGCATCTGTAAGCACAAGGTACAAAGTGGGCAGGGCTGGGTCCGTTCCCATGCAGCCCCATGGGCCCCTGCCCTTTTCTGACACCCTCCCAGGCTCCTGGAGCACACCATTCAGGACTCCACTCTCCATCGTGTAGCGTTCTACAGTCACTCACAGGTGTGTCTACCTCACCGAGAGCCCCTCAACTGGTAGGGACCGTGCCTTCTTTTACTTGCACTGAGCAGTGTCCAGCTGACAACGGCAACTCAGGAAATGTTTTACAAGGGGCATGTGTGCATGAGTGAATGATTGCTACAGGTCAGCAAAGGCTTCAGAGAGCCTGTTCCAGTGCAGCTGTGATGGCTGCCGGAGGGTTATCCAGAGAAAGGTTATGAGCCCTCATCTGGACTCACTGGGAAAGAGAACTGTGATTGATTCGTGATGTCTGCCCTGGGTACCTGTTAGGCAGACATCTGGCAACTGTTGGCCACCCCTATCCTAAACAGCTGTGCGGCACCTAGGAGCTGGGCAGACAGGTGCGGAATGAGAAAGGAAGGCTGATTTGGTGCATCCATTCCCTACCCTCGAATAATCACCGGATGGCGGCCCACTGGATGGTGCGCGTGGAGAACAGTCCTCTGCTGTCATCGTAAACACAGTGATCTGCCAAAACTAGCTGGGAGATGCAGTGTTTCTACACTGGCTTCAAGGGAAGCTCTGGCCACCAGGCGTAAGCGGGAAGCCCAAGAAATCATGTCTAAGTCACTGTTTGGCTGGAAATATCAATAATCCTTTGGACATGGTAGGCAATCTACAATCTGGGGCATCCGGTCAGCTAAACATGGCCCCAGCTGTCACTTGGAGCCCCCTGCCAAGAGTAGAGCCACCCCTGATGGTGTAGATAAGCAGGACAGTGATGACGCCGCAGGAATGGAACCCTGAAGCTTCCCTCAAGCCCATGGCCTCAGCTTCTCCGAGAGCCAAGATCGGGCCGACCCACCCAACAGGCCTCCTTCTCTCTGCAGACAGGCATGCGCTGCAAGGCCCTAAGAGCTCAGGACTGGCTTCCAGCCCTGGATGGAGCGCAGTGGTGAGCAGGGCTCTGCGGGGCCGAGCCCAGGCCTTTCTGAGAGGTCACACGATCTTCCTCATTTTCAAGTTGACAGGCCTGCCTTCTCCCCTTCACCTGATCCCGCAGTCTCACCTCCCGGTCCTGCTCACAGCTCCTGCAAGGTGAGTGCCATCCTGTGGCCCATGAGGGTCTGCCCCATACACCCCAGCCCTATGCACCACCAGCACCGTCGCTTGCTCTAATTGTTTCAGGTGTGGCAGGTTTGCCGCTTCTCCCTCTTGGGGTCTCCCTGTGTCCCCATCTCACCACGGCGCTCGCTAAATATGGAGCTTTATAGAGAAACTCGGCATCCCTGGGAGGTGCCAACATTTATACACTCGGCTGCAACTGAAAGGTTGGCAGTTCAAGCCCACCCTAAGGCACCTCAGAAGAAAGGTCTGATGGTCCACTTCCCAATGTCAGCCATGGAAAATCTTATGTTCTTGACACATACACGAGGTGACCGTAAATTTGGAGTTGACTGGGGGGCAACTGGTGGCAGTGGTATCAACAATCTCCAAGACAGATAGCTGGGGTTGAACTCAGGGCCTGCACCCCCATTTCAACCAAAGCAGCTCCATTTTGCTTTTCCATATTGGAGCCTGCATGACACTGTGTTTTGAAAAGATTCCGCTGCTTTTGCGAGAAAACTATGGGAGAGACTCCTCATCTCGAGGAGCCCTGAAGTCCTGCCCACAGGGATGCATGTGACTCTCAAGACACTTCATCTATTCGAGCCTGTCTCCTCATCGCGACCCCTGGATGGACAAACTGGCCCCACAGACCTCCTGTGAAAATTAAAGGCGACAGCACACCGGACAGAGCCAAACCCGAGGAGAATGGAAGTCCACTCGCAGCCAGCCGCAGGGACTGAGCACTTAGGTCGTTATACTGGGTTCCCCCCCATCCCTGAGAGACGCTCGCCTTGCATAGGAGAGCACAGCTCACAAGGCAAAGGCTTGAACAAGCCGACGTGGTGCTCCGAGGTGGGATGCAGCTTTGTCCAAGAGAATCTGGGCAGATCACCCCAAAAGTCTGATGACACTTTTTAGCAAGAGCCACCAGGCAGAAGGGTGGCAGGGGCAGGGTGCAGGAGGGAGAGGATGAAGAGGCATTTCCATGAGAGAGACCATTATCTGGCCAATCCTGTCCCTGGGACCCTACAATAGGACGGTCTCGTGGCCTCGGAAAGAAAAGATCTCGGCCACGTGCCCAAGACTGATGACCTCTTCCAGGTTCCCCAGCTCCAGGGACCAGAGGAAGGAGGGAGAGGTGAGGAGATGCACAACAGTCTATTGGCAGGGTCAGAGGGCCCACAGGACTGCTCTAAGCTCCACAGAGCCCTCGCTCAGCTGGCCTGGCTGCAACCAGAGGAAGCAGGGCGAGCAGGAGTGGACATGTGAGGACAGATATATGCCCTCTGAAATGCCTGCCCAGCCCACCATGCAGGCCCAGGCACAGCGCCTCACCAAGGCCTCCCCCGCTCCTGGTTCCTCTATGGTGCCCCCAGATACCCACACCTCTGCCCAGCAGCCCCCCAGGGAAGGCCCTGCCTCTCCACAAGTCTGTCCTTTCAATCCAGCCAGAAGAGAAGGTCCGGGGGGGTTAGGAGGCCTGAATTCCTGATGCTGCTAGGCCCCTGGCTAGCTCTGTGGGCATGAACAAGTGCCTGTCCTAGCTGGGCCTCGGGTCCCACATTGGAAGAGGAGATCCCTAGACACCAGCCACCATTCTAAGATAGTCTGAGGAGCAGGGCACAGTGCCACCGTGGCAGCGTCTCGTGGTCAGTGAATGGGGTCCCCAAAGCTTCCCCAAGGATCCAAGCAGTATAGGCAGGGGCACAGGGGGAGGACAGAGCTAAGTAAAATAATCATGTCGCTCTCTCTCTCTCTCTCTCTCTTTCTCCAGGAGGTACCCAGGGGACGAGCCTCTCTCCCATAGAGGCCCCAATTCCCTTGGGACTCTTCTGTAGCTGTCAATTCCATGGGCTCCCATAATTCCCACAACAGACAACAGAGACCCATTCAATCTGGGACACTCCAAGCTAGCAGAGCTAAAGAGGAAGGGGACAGAGTACCCCCTACCCCTCCAGGTGAGCTAGGGCAGGGGGCCTGGGGCTTCTTCCTCAAAATTCCCAGTGCCTGGCACTAAACAAGTGCTCATGACAAAGAGGCTCCCCAAGACAATCGGCTCCTCCCCTTCCATCTCTGCAGGAAAGGAACCTGAGGGGAGGGGAGGAGGGCAGGAGCCG